TATTATATATGCCTAAGATAATGCCTATTTTTATTCAGTTATAGCTTCTTAGGATGAAAGGTAACCCCCAATTTTTATTACATATTCTGAAAGCACATGAGTTGTAGATATGATTTTATAGTTTATTATGGCTGATCGGACATTGTGGCATCATCATATTGCTATCTAATTTAAAAAAAACTGAAATTTTATTTATGACGTAATTATTTTTCAACTTATTTGAACGTATCTTACTTATTCTTGATCAATGGACCTTTCCGCTAAGCTCCGCCCCTTGGATATTGTTGCTAAGGTCTCACAAGACGGCCGTGTTAAAACATACGCGAACATGTGCGTTTGTGGGACAACACGTGTGTTTGTAAGACGCGCGCGTATTCCTAGCGCTGTTTTGATTAGTCAGTTGTTAAGTTTGATTGACACTCCGGAAATGTCTATTGTCTTCCACCTGTGAGTATGTTATAGCTGAGACAATTCTATTTCAGAAGTGTCCCTTTATTTTTCATTTTGATGACTTCATCATGGTAAAAAAGAATGCTTTTTTGGAGCCTTTTCATCTTTCTTTCTTAAAAGATGTAAACAATTTTTAAATAGAGGGCGGCAGACTGTATTTCGACACTATCAGACCGATAGTTCGTATACTGTAAAGGGAAAATTCGTGTGGCATTACCAACCAACAGTCATTTTTAAATTACACTTGACAAGGTTCAATTTCGTGTGCCATTACCGTCCCCGCGCACGTCGGTGCGTGTGCGGCAAAATTTAGATATTCTCAATATTACTATTCAGATAATTTAAAGCACGTTTCAGGACATTTTCAGCATTGCAAAACTTTCCATAATTTATCCACCGTACGCTCATTTTTACGTACTGAAGCTGGAAATTACGTACTGAAGCTGGAAATTATGGTTTGTTACATTTTTTGGGTTCCTGACAAAGTATTCATATAAGGAGTTAACTTTGTGTGCCATTAACATGCGCACAGGCGTCAAGACGTTCGCGTACGCAAGCGTAAATCTTTTAAAATGTTTCAAATTACACTTTTATAAAATCTAACTAGAGCATATTTTAGGCCATTTCAAAACATTTCAATCTGCACCGCTCGCGCTACCTGAGGGTCAAGTGCGGCGGATCACCAAACTCGTCCTCAGTGACGAGTTCAAATCTAGTTGGTGATCCGCTACACTAGCGGATCACCTCTTGTTATTGTCAGGATCATCATCTTCTTTTTTTTCTTATTCTTCTTTCTTTCTCCCCTTTTCTGTTCGCACGATATCTTAAAAAATGCCACGAGTTACGCAAAATCGCTTTCAGCGAATATTTGGCTTGGTCTGGAATAGTCATGGTAAGCTTTTCAACGCGCTCAATCATGCGTGACGTCATCTACGCGCAATTTTGCGTTTTTACATTATCGATCATATCAGCCTAACCAATTGCCATTTCGAAATCGTATTAAGTGAGCATTAACTTTGGGATAATGTTGAATGTACAGTACCCTAATTTAACGCGTGCGGTTATTACCGCGCGCGCACGCGTGTGCCAAAATTTCCAAATCACTTTTTGAATAAATTAAAGTACGTTTTAGGACATTTTGAGCATTTCAAATTTTTTTGAAATTTTCCACTACGCGCGCGCATTTTTACGTGCGCAGCACGTACGAAAGCTAGAAATTACGTTATTTTATATATTTTGGGTTCCTGACATTGTTTTTACAAATTTGCATTCTTTTTGGTCATCTTTTGGCCAATAGCAATACCGTACGTGCGCATCAAACATAGGTATCTTTG